GGCATGCTTACAAACTATCTTCCCATGACCTCCTGGCTCTGACCAATTTTTGAAGGGCCTTGCACAAATGACTCTAGGATCTGACATTTCTGTCACCCAAGCAATGGCTTACTGCCTCTGGATGCTCCTCCATTGCTTTTGTCCCAGGAGTGTTTTCTCTACACTGGGATAAATGCCTCATTGGCATTTCCCTTAGCTGGCCACTGGACTCGAACTCGGGGCCTGAGTGCTGTCCCTCAGCTCTACAGCTCAAAGCTAGCACTCTGCCACTTTTGAGTCCCAAAGCAACTCTGCTTGCTCTTTCAGCACTCTGCTGGCTGAGTAGAGGTGACAGTCTCACAGGGACCTTTTTCTGCCTGGGCTGAACCAGTTTGTAGATCAATGAGTCTTATAAAAGGCCACTTTACTCCAATTAAAAGCAACAAGGTGGTCAACATAGAAGTAGCTTTTAAGCATGCTCTCACCTGAAACTTATTAAGAGCCAAAGTTACATCTGACAAACTGGAAACTGTTAAAAAAAAAAAAAACCTATAAGAGCAAACTGGAATAGCAATTATTTTGGTAATCCTAATTTTTTCTTTGTGCACTTTGAGGCAAATGCTAAGAACAATTTTACTTTTAAACTTTATATCCAAAAATCCATTTCTAATTTTTAATCTCCTTTAATACATTTTACTTTAGTTTTCATTTGTGTTTTGAAAAGATCCCTTGAAATCTTGAGGTCAAGTGTCACTCATTGTCTCTTGGCTGCTTATTTTTATTTTTTGGGTCCAGTCATGGGGCCTGAACTCTGGGTCTGGGCGCTGTCCCTCAGCTCTTCAGCTCAAGGCTAGTGCTCTACCACTTGAGCCATAGTGCCACTTCCGGCTTTTTTCTTTTTTCTTATGTGGTGCTAAGGAATCGAACCCAGGGCCTCATGTATGCAAGGCAAGCGCTCTTCTACTGAGCCACCTTCCCAGACCATGGCTGTTTGTTTTAAACAGATACACATTAAACCTTTTAAACTCAAATGACAATTTTTCCTTAATGCAAGAATTGCAATCATCATCACTGTACCAAGAAGCTAGACTTAACACCTTTAGGACTTTTAAAAACATATCCTACTTGTAGAACATCATTGAAAGCAAGTCACATTATACAAATAAGCTTTTTAACCCTCTTTTTAAGGCCTTTTTAATTTTAACACATCCAAGGGGCACTTTTAGCAATACTACTCAGATCATCACATCACTCATTTTAACCATCTTGTTTCCAGTGTCTATCTGCAGGGAAAAGAGACAGAACAATGATGGGCCACTTGGCCCCTCCTATGGAATGGGCACACACCCAATCTGACTTTTTAGGGTTAGATGAGCTGCGTTTGTGCCAGCTTGCCCCCTTTCACCATGCGTGGACTCCTCCCAAGGCCTGTCCCACCATCTGTGGACTCCCAGCCCCCCCCCCCCGGCCTGTCCCACCATGCATGACCAGCTGAACTGCACTTCTGCCTGCTCACCCCTAAAGATAGGTCTTCTGTTGGCTTCTAAGTTTTTTTTTCCTTTCTTTTCTCTTGGTTCTCAAATGAAATACACAGTTTTAGACAGACAGAACAGGTAACGTCTTTTACAGTGTTAAACTAGCCTTTACACTTAAATTTCTAGTATTTATCCCCAAATTTTAATCAAGGGAACTAAATCCTAAACAGTCAATGCATTTTTGTTAAGCCAGATAACCTGATTACAGTATAAACAGCCTTATGCACTTAAAAATATTAGATTTTAAAATACCAGATTTTCTCATTTTTTAAGTTAAAGAATTCTTAAAAAGCCTTTTAAAACAACGTGAAAATTCTTTGAAAATTTTTGGTCGTGTCCAAACCTCAGAACCTTTTAAATTTGACACTTAAACTTACCCTATTGTTACAGCATGCTGAGAATTCTTATCTTGAACATGTTCACAAATACCTACAAAACACTCATACAGATCTTAAAGCGTGCAAAAATCAAAATCAGTTGTATGTACATTTTTCTAAAGTTGTTAAAAATTTAAGACAGTATTTCTTTTAAACTAAGTACCTTTGTTGAGCTTCATTTTCCCAGAGCTTGCTTATTTAGCAAGGCAATTCACCAATGGGTCTTTTGAATCCTTTCTGTTGGAGGAGGGCTGGGGGAGGGGTTCACCTGAAACTAAACTGGCCTGATTTTTTTTTTCTAATCCAATTTTAGACAAGAGCACTTTTCAAATTGTTACATTGTCAGGACTAGCTGAAAAGTCCACCAGGCACACAGTCTTCTACACTGCTGGCAGCCTCCACAAGGAGAAAATGCAGCCTGAGGCTTGAAGGGAACCAAAGTAGCCCAGCAACCTTCCAGGCCTCACAGGGAGGGGGCATAGCAGGTCTGTGGCCGAGCCCAGCCAGAGGCTGGAACTTTTATTCCCACAGAGATGTTCAAATAAATAACAAAAACAAATAAACACAAAAACCAAGGATCCACATTTAAAACTGGTACCAATCCTAAAATAGAACTAGACAACAACCAAAGGCTAAGTTGGGGACTAATGGGCCCCCAGTTCATCCCTACGGGAACTCTGTGCTGTTTTCACTCAGCAAGCTGAATCCAGAGTCTGCTGAGTGAGCCTGCCACTCTCACCCAGACCTTCCCTACCCCGGGAAACATAGAACAGAAAATACACCGAAGCAAACAAGACAGACAAGTGGCCACAAAGGCAAAATCAGGTCTCAGTGAATGGGGCAACATCTCAAATCCACTTACCAGGGGACTCAAACCCCCTCTACTCATTCCAGAGGATTTTTCTTTTTCGATTCCTGCAAACGTTGACCCAGGGGTCTTCCAAGGCGGAGAATTCCCAGTCATCTTGGGGTAAGGGACAGAAGTGCCTAGCGGCTGTCCCCTCATACTGACAGGTTCTCCCCCACGCTCAGACCCCCTGAGCCAAGGCCTGAGGCTAAGATCTTGTCAGTGCCACTCCAGGTGGTCAGTGACAGTTTCATAATTGATAAACAAGCAAGTTACAAGAGCAGAACCAGCAGGGGATTAGAAGAATTTCACCAAGTCTCCCCAGCCCTTTTTTATATGCACAGGTAGTCAGGCCAATTAAAATGCCCAGCACTAATCTAGCAAACGAACAGGAATAAGCAATTTATAAAATCAAGGTTATGACACAGAGAAACAGCAAATGCTGTGCATTATTAACCTGCAAGAGTCAGGGGTGGGAGAGGACAGGACAATGGAAACAAGCACACATTTTCCAGGGGAGACTGGTCTGGTTAGTTTCCTGTGGAAAATCAAAAATAAATATCATGAACAGTGGTCTCAGGGCAAGGAAGAAACAGTTACAACAGATAGAGGACACGAAATGAAAGCGCTGCACGGTGTGGAAAGTCTAGCAGGTGCCGGAGAAAATCTATCTCCAGCAGACAACAATCCAGTCAGATGTGGCCACTCGGGTTCAGGTGTGGAAAGTCAAGCAGGTGCCGGAGAAAAATCTCCAGCAGACAACAATCCATTCAAATGAGGGACCGGGGACGTCTCCCACAGACCCCTGTTGGTGGCCTTTTAGTGAGTCCACCAAGACCCTTTGCCGACTGGACAGACACCTAGGTTTTCAGATGCAGACAAAGACAGAATGGCAATGCCTCAGACTTACCAGCCAGGTTTCTCACGACTCCTTGGTTAAGTTGTCCGGGTGGGCTTGGGGGGAGGGAGGGATTCCCGGCCAATGCACCAAATGTAAAGCCGAATTCGGAAATCCTTACCCAAAAGACCACCAGAGACCATCACCAATGTAAAAGCAAAGGAGTCTTTATTGCAAGCTTGAGCTTGGTCCCCCCCACCCCCCCATGTACATGGCAGCAGCCCATGACGCTGAGAGGCCCGAGCCCAGGGTTACAGCACTTTTTATACACTTTTTTTTTAGGGAAGGCAGGGGTTTTGCAAACATCATAACTTCTTGTAACAAATGACTACAAACCGCGGGAAAAATCATAAAACAACTCTATAGTATGATTGGTGTACTACAAAGCGGGAAAGGACCAGAAACAAGTTGTTGGTTAGATCAAGGGGGCTGACGTACTTTAAACTGGTTGGTTTGCTTCCCGGGGAGTCTCAAGAGGGTAGGTGCTCAACTGCAGGGTGTCTGGTTTAGGTAATGGTCACCAGACCCTAGGAGAGGCTGTTCTGAATTTCAGATATCGTAATTCCAGGCATTGGGGCTGACGTGGGTCAAAGGTTAAGTTGCAGAACTGAGATGGGGGTCTTAAGTGAAATGGAGTTGCTTAGGTGCCTCACTGGGAAGCTCAGATCTCAGCCTCCTCAGTAGCTAGGATTACAGACCTAAGCCACCAGTGCTAGGCCGGGTATCAAAGCTTACAGAACACTTGTCATGGCTACATGAAAGACTGATATTAAAAGAACAAACTCAACACTTCCAAGTGGTCAAAGTGGAGGAGTTGGAGGTGAACTGGGCAACTGGAGGAGAATGCACCGCTGAGCCAGGACTGGTGTAAGGCATGAAACACAGTTTTTACAGAACTAGGACACAGATTTTTTTGAATTCAAGGGTTGAGTAGAAAACAGATGTGGTAGAGCGGCCTAAAGACCCCAGCCAGCTGGGAGGTTTAGGGTGGACAGCAGAAGATGACCACAGCCTGGTCAGCACTGGAGAAGAAGCAGCCCAAAGACCCTACACCCAACTCATCAAAGAAATCCTGGCGCTTAGGATGCCCCTGGCTGCGTTCAGAGCCCAGAGGTGGAGAGCCCATGCAGAACAAACTCAGCGCCTCATCCTGCCGCAGCTGCGCAGATCCCCACTCCTCCACCAGGAACTACAACTCCCGTGACGCATCGCGACCACGCGGAATTAAACAGTAAACTACAAGTCCCAGAAGGCCTTGGGCGTGGGGGCGCGCGTTGGAGAGGGCGGGAGAAGCGGAGGGGGCGTGGCCACGCCGGACGCGCGGGACCGTTAAATTTTAAATTTGGCGGTTTAGGGCGGAAGGCGTGAGGTGCGGGGTTTGTGAGGGAGTCCCGCGCGGGAGTGCGTCTCGGAGCGCCCCGGTTTCTCCTGTGCGAGCAGGAGGCGGGAGAAGAACCCGCACAGTCGGCGGCCCCTTGAGGAGGGGTCCGCGGCGGCCGAGGGCGGCAGCCGGGAATGCAGGATGGCGGCGGCGGGGGAAGGAGCCGCTC